CTTTGTATTGTAAAATGTTTATCTATTTCCTGTTTTGTTGGTGAAACAACATATAAATTAGGATAGCTAACTTGTCATCCTTCAAACATTTTGGCCTACCTCTTCCATCACAATCTACTATGGGCTATGCCAAATAGTGCTGATGGCAGGTCTAAGCCAAAACATTTGAATGGCCACCAATTATGCAACCCCTCACCTAGACACTTGCACTGATACATTAGAACAAGACAGTTGTTCATCAAGGAAAGCTGAATAGTTAATTACAAAACATGAATCACAGCACATCCAAATCCAGTGTATCATTTCTCAAATGCTATGATATTTTTATTTTTAGTATAAGTTTCATTTCTGTACCGTCCCATAGCTGAAGCTCTCTGGATGGTGTACAGCAGAGCAGTTCAATGATGGAGCAGCTAACAACAAGTATAACAAGAAATGGTCATAGCACACAGCAGTACAGAGCTTCCTGCCTGTAAAGGTTTGTTATGTAAGGCAATGATCTCTCACCTTCTTCAGCTCCCTCTTTCGGGCCTCTTTGCCTGCAAAAATACAAACAATTTGAACCAACCAATCAATTTCAGATTTCAGACCAGATTTTAAAATCTTTTGGACTAAAATCCTAATCACACTTTCTAGGAAATAAATCTCATAAATCACAGCAGAACTTATTTCAGTGTGAACTTGAAGCCAGGATTTATGCTTTACTAGAATCAGTTAGAATCAGTTCACTTTCATCCAAGTGAAAAAGTAACACCTGAATTTATGTTTGCCCTGACAAAACTACTGCGGTCAATACCTACATTACATTCCCCTACCACAGAGGTGGCCACCATGCCGGAAAATGCATGAACATCAACAGCTGGCATGAAAATCACTACTTCCTTATCTTCCTTCATGGCAAAGAGTTTTGTGCACAAAAGTGACAGAAGTGGACCTTAGCAAGGACAAGGTTTGCTACTACCCCTGGCAGAATCTTGCCAAAATATTACATCACTGCCACAAGGTATTCCAACTTTGCTCAATTTTCAGTCATTGTTTTTATGTCATCCCTTCTGTCATTTTGAGAGGTTCTCTTTAACATGAATATATTTTTAGCATGGAATACCACAAAAGCTGTAAATCAATCCTTCTAATGGAACTTACTTATCAGAATGCCACCAAACTCAGCTCAAATGGAGCATCTCAAAACTGATCACAAAAGTTCTAGTTATTAGCACAAAGTTAAGACTTGTTGGAGATGTGGGCATACAGAAGCTAATCTGGTCTATGTCTTCTAAAATTATTTTAGTTTCATACAACATGATAGTATAATAAACAAACCAAATTTCAGTTTTGGATCATATTAAAAACATATGTCTGGTTATGAACTGGCACTGGACCCAATGCTAATACAGCAGTAATGTTTTTGCTATTTGAGATCTACAGTTTTATAAGAAGATTTTAAAATTCTTACTCATTTATGAACAGCACCAAAGTTGACTGCAAATTATTAATTAAGTTTGTTTTCTGTATTTGAATGACTGATACAACTTTTGGATAAAGCATATGACAAAACTGATAAATGCAGCTTAGGAAAGAAAACTAGGAGATTATCTTGGTTATGTAGTTTTACCTTGCATGGAAATATTAAAGAACAATGTGCTGCTTTATTAAGAATATTACTAAAAACACACTTACTTCACATTTTTTGGTGTTATCTTCAACATTGTATCCTTTGAATATAATATCCCTCTCAGAATTGCTTATTTATCCAATAACCACACTTACATCTGTGTTGTAACTTCACTGTCCATAGTACAAATCTATGTTTTGAAATTGCTGGTTTCTTTGCTACATTCCACCATTATGTAACACTGACTTTATGATTACAGCGCCTGTCCCATTAGAACAATCAGAGCCCCCAAAGCCTACCTCAGTGCTTTCTAAAAGCATACAATGTTGCCTGACAAGCCCTTGAGAGTTCCTATATCTTTTCCCAAAAGTATCTTGAAGAAAAATAAGTTAAGTGCTTTATAGAGCAACCTAAGTCTTTGAGCAAGCATCCCAGGGTGGTTCACTCTTCTAAGGTTGGACAGAGTTCTCCAGCCTCAGGAGTCAAATATCTGACTTGCAAAGCGTTCCCCTAACAGCCTGAATGGAAAGAAAAGTGCCAACAGCTTCTCTGAACTTGAAAAACAATGGAAGAGGAGAAAAAGGGGTGTTCCATTGGGCAGGGAAAGGAGACTGGAGAGGGCAGGATATAAATTTTTCCTCCCACTGCAAAACAGCCTTGTTAGATAGGCTGAAAAGAAAAGTTCAGATCAGAGGATGGGGAGGTGAAGGTTGCACAGGAATTGTAGAAGCCCCTGGAATCTAGGTGCTTTTGAGCTGTGAAGGTACAATCTATAGGATTGTGCCCTTACCAGCTGAAATCACTATAATTTTTGCAGACACAGTCAGTTTGGGGCAACTGGTTGCTATACAAAACTGCACTTGGCTTTTATTAAGAAACAGTCATAGATATAAATTATTCCAAAAAATCAAGTCATACAGATTGCTCTATAACCAACGTATCATACATTAAAAATGCTTCCACGTATAATCTAAATAAAAGAGCTATTCATGCCTTTTTCTGATTAAAATTACAATTAAAGACATCTCTTAAAGCCTCCTAGACAAAACCTATTTGATGCCATCACCCCACTAACTTGTATTTTTGCCTTATTTATCTCCTGTATATTCTTGCCCATATTTTATGAACCAAAACTTTCTGGACACTTACGAGCTTGGTCTGTGGGGTTCATGAACTTCCCACTCTTGGTGGAAGATGTGGATCTCCGCCCCATTTTGACTGTTTATTTCTTTTACTGCTCCACTTAATAAAACTAGACCAGAAAGAAAAAAAATAATTTCAGTGTCTTGCCAGTATTAAACATAGAACAGGTCATTCAGTTTCCTTCCCTTTCTCAACTCCTGCTTCATCTCCACATTACTGTGGTAACTGTTTCCTCTACTAAAGGACTTCTCTTACATACATTTCATCATATATTGATCACAAGCATAAACACAAGCTGGGATAATAAAATATGAAAGTCACAAATAATGGACATGAATTTCAAGTGGGATGGTCACATTGGTCTGTGTTAGTGATCCCCCAATGGTTTCTGAATATTGCCATTCCTGATGTCATATTTAAGTCCTTTTATTTCTTTGCAGACTGAGCTGTGAAAAAAGCAGTACAGCATTGCAGTACAGCATAGCACACATCACATTGGAAGATGAGTAGATGTATAAATTTGTGATGGGGAACATTTCAACTTCCCAAAACATTTTATCAATGACCCTAAGGTGGCAATTATTGAACAAAATAATTTGAAAAACATTTATCAATGCAAACTGTTGAAATTCATCATGGGATTCAACTCCATTTCATATGCTCTGAATAAGATTGGTGTGTTTTTGTAATTTAATTACCTCACATATATAACCACCTTACCTTTATAATGATACCTGTTTTATCACCCAACAGATTTTCTGAATGAAAATTGTGAAGATAAGCATGCCTGTATTTTTTGCATTTCAGTTCCTTCTGATAACACACCTTGCTTCTACAAATGCACTACATTTCTATAAATCTGCCAATCTTAGGTTAACTTTTCCTGCATCTAATATAGGGGACAAGTCCAATTAAGTTATACTAGAATAACTTTGTTACTATTTAATTTGCCACAAAACTTGTAGCTGAAACAACCAACAGCTGCTGGCACTAACTTTTATGTTCCTTTTTGTTAGGTTGATAGTTAGGGCTGCGCAGCTTTGACAGTTAATAAGCCACAGTATGAGCCACATAGGATTAGGACCCTATTTTTTAGGCCAACACAGCACAGCTGCAGTCTCCATGCTACTAACACTTGTTTTTACCTATCAAGGCCCATTCCATTCAAAACTAAAATACTGCTGAGGAGAGGAGAGGAGCATGGAAAAAAGGGAGCAACACAACAGAAAGCTGCGAATGGGAAAGGGCTAAAGGCCGGGAATGGGCCTGCAGCCTCTTCCTACCTTTGCCACAGATCAGTTCGCAGAAGGCTCTTCCCCTCTCACATTGCCGTTCCCTGGAGCCAAGCCCGGGGGATTTAAGCCAAGCAGCGACCAAGCAAAATCACGTAGAGAGATCCTCGCTGGACCTTGCTCAAACCACCCCTCACAGCCACTTTTCTTCCTTCCACCGCGAGAAAATGGCCCTACAATACCCGCTCCCCCACTGCTCTCGCCTTGGCCGCCATCTTGGAAAGCCGCGCGATCTCGCAGCAACGGCAATAGAGACGGAAAAGCTAGAGTGGCACATAGCTTGAATTTCCGCCAAATTGAGTTGCCGTTGGCCATATAAACTTATACTGAAGACCTGTACTCGGTTCTTAATTCCCGGGCTAATCTAGGATGGGGCGCGCATGCGTGTGACTTTATTCCCGTTGCTGAAGTATCAGAGCCGTTTAGAGAAAGCAACAAAGAAATCCAGGATTTTAGCGCGCCTTTGATAGGGCATTAACCTATGATAACGTAAAAGGCAGGAGAGAAGATAGGAGCTTGTGTGTAAATGCCTCAGTTTTTATTAATGCAATACTGAACATGTTGAACGCACCACGTTTGCATGCAAGTAAATGGAACACAAAGGTTAGCACTTATTTGAGCTACGATAGGGCCTGGGGTGCCCATTTAATTCAGCTGACGTTATCTGGAAGCCGATCAGGATTTAGCAAAGAGACTGGAAATCCAAACCAGCTTCAGCACCTGCTAGCACAGCCTTTGCTCACTAGAATTGTGCAGTACAAGTCCTCGTTAATTTGGACAGTTAGCCCTGCTAGTTAGCATCGATCGGTTGGTTACACTGGAAATTACAAATATGAGGGGCAAGAGGATGGAAAAGAATGTGCTAGATTAATAGGTGGCAACCGATTTCTCCCATTTAATACTTTATTGATGGATAATGGTCATTTACAGAAAATCTTATAACGTTCATAAACTTCTCCAAAGCTGCAATTTTCACACTAAGTATAACTTATGGTTTATAAAGTAGGAATTGCTGCTTTTGCTGCTATCTTTTGTTTCTAGGTGGAAAGGCTGAGCGTTGCTGATCAATCACAGGCACAAGCCGATTTCGCCATCTTTTCCAATAGGCGGGCAACGCCAAACAACCAGGAAGTGCCATCTCTAAATAGATTATCGGTCTTAGTTTAAACTATCTCTACGCGTGATCAAGATTCTTGAGAGGCGCCGTTGTGCAGATCCATGTCGAGGTCGACGCATTTATGAAGATAGGGATCGTGCGTTTTTCTGTGGCAGTGCAGCCGTCCGACTGCACAGCTAATATGACTAGCCACTTTCTCTTTGCAGTTAAGCCTCCTCAGTTCGGCGCGGTGTCTCGACCTTCAAACTTCCGATGTTTCCTCTCTATGATACCAGATCGGATAAGCAACTACTGATTTCTGCCGAAGGAAGGGGAGGGGCTGAAGGACGGGCGCCATTTTAGGTTGAGAAGGCTGCTACGCTGAGCGCCGTCGGGAGAGGGCGCTCGCCTGCTATTTTACACACAAATCGCTTTTCTTAAAATTGTCTCAGAAATCAGTTTTTATTCGCTGTACAAATAACAATGTGCGTTGTTCTACTCTTTCACGTATATCCCAGAGCCGCGATCACTATGGGACGTTTATGTCTTCGAGAAACATCTTAATTCCTAGAAAAAGTCATCCTGTTCTCGAAAAGAACCTGTTTCTGTCTGCAACGTTTTGTTACACAGGCTTTTTCAGAGAACTGGATAAAATCATAGCTCAAGGCATCAGAATGCTCCAGATCAAGCATTTATCATCATAATTTATAAAACTCTAATTTTATGCACAGCTTGGACACAATCCTATGCCTGTTGTGACAGAAAAAAGTCCTACAACTCCCATCATCCCATGGCAGTGTAGACATTGTAGCAGTTTTTTTCCTTTAAACATGCTTAAGATTGCATCCTTGGTTGAAAGATTCATTAATGTTAATGAAAGTTCTGTGTAACTTTTGTGGCATTGCAGCGAAATGGGTTTTGTAACCAATTCTTGCAAAAGTAAATGAAATACAGTGGTCCCTGGCTCACAAATGCCACATCACAACCAAATAGGGTCGCGAACAAAAATTTCATAAAAATTTTGACTCAGGTCGCGAACTCTGGATTGGGTGGCGACCGCGATTGTGGCCATCTCCCCACCCACCCCCAGCACCCATCTTTCCTGCAGGAGAGCGCACATGATGGTGCCCGTCTTTCCTGCATAAGCGCAACTGCGATCTTGGCCATCTCCCCCCCATCACAAGCCTCCAGTGTGCCGGGATGACGGGCGCATGCAGGGATGACAAGCACAATTGCGGTCATGCTGGGGGGGGGGGCAGGGAGATGGCCGCACTCATGCTCAGGGGTGGGGGAGATGGCCGCAATCTTTATTGTTCTTTGTCACTTTGCTTTACATTTTTCTGATTAAAAAAATAGTTACAGAACGGATTAACCTTATTTACATTTAACCTTATGGGAAAATTTAACTTGGCTCACAACCAATTTGGGTCACAACCCAAAGTCCTGGAATGAATTAAGTTCGTGAGCCAAGGTACCACTGTATACTAGCCTTCCCAGCCTGATGTTCCCCCAGGCATCTCGGTCCACAATTCCCAGAATCCTTTAGCCAGCTGATAAATTATCTTTTAAGGTGATACCAAGGAGATGTACAGAGGGAAAAGTGCACTCTGAATGCAGGACTGGGTGCATCTCTTGGTGCATATGTCAGTGGGTCTAGGACAGGGATGGTGAACCTTTTAGAGACCAAGTGCCCAAACTGCAACCCAAAACCCACTTATTTATTGCAAAGTGCCAGCACAACAATAAACCTGAATACTGAGGTATCAGTTTAGGGGGAAAAAGTCACAGCAGTCCAAGCAAATATTTGTATATCCTTGGCAGTGCACTGACCGGCCATGCGAAAGCTCAGACGAGTTGTGGCTAATGAGTCGTGGCTTGTGATGTCATTGCCTGGCGCCACTACTCCTTTCCAAGCATGCATATGGCCCCTATATGAGCTGTTATCCGATGCTCGGCTGCTGCGGTGCTGCTAGGGTGACTTGGCCCGCATACTGACACAGAGGACTCTGCCTGCCCACCGTGGCATGCGTGCCATAAGTCCACCACCACTGTCCTAACCCTACCCTGGTGCACACCGCTAACCCTAATTTAGGCCTAAAGTTCAAGTGAAAAGGGGGAGATTTTGAAAAAGCCTTCCCTGAGTAGCTTTTTCTGCACTGCTCATTTCTGCCCATTCTGAACACATTCCAATCATCAAAATCATGCCAGGACACCTCGTTTTTCCAACCCCAACCCTACCCTGGTGCACACCCCTAACCCTAATAAAGGGCTAAAATTCCATTGAAAATAATGCAATTTTGAAAAAGTCTTCCTTGAGTAGCTTTTTCTGCACTGCTCAACATTTCTTCCCATTCAAAACACATTCCAACCATCAAAATCATGCCAGGACACCTCATTTTTATAACCCTTATCCAGTGATGTTGAACCTTTTAGAGACCGAGTGCCCAAACTGCAACCCAAAACCCACTTATTTATCACAAAGTGCCAACACTACAATAAAACCTGAAAACAGCCAGTCCAAGCAAATATATATATATCCTTGGCACCACACTGACCGGCCATGCAAAAGCTCGAACGATTCGCGGCTAATGAGTCGCAGCTGGTGACACCATTGCCTGACACTGCTACTCCTTTCCAAGCATGCGTATGTGCGCTGTTATCCAGTGCTTGGATGCTGGGGCGATGCTGGGGTGACTTGGGTTGCATGCTGACAGAGAGGGCTCTGCGTGCCCGTTGTGGCATGCATGCCATAGGTTTGCCACCACTGGTGTAGGATAATGGGCTTTGGGGAGGCCTTATAAGGAAGCACAGAGGAGAGCAAGTGTTACTGAGAAAAGTCCTGGGAGGAAGGCATGGAAAACAGAAACCAAGAGTACATTGGGGGCTATGGAAACAAATACGAATTTAAAATTTGCCATGGAAGGCTTGGCAAAGACAAATAAACTGCTTGAAAGAATGAGTACATGGCAGAGGTGAGGTCTGAGCCTATTACACTAAACATCTCCTTTGACCCCACAGTATTCATCACCAACAGACTTATTTCCCAACTTCTAGCAAGAAAAAGTGTTAATTTTTGTTATTTAGTAGGAATGACAGGACACCTTGGTGGGCACGAAGAAAGGTTTCTAGGAGGGCATTGGTACCTGTAGGAATCATATAGCTGGTCCCTGATGTAAACTGAAGAAATAGGGTCCAGAGGGCTAGGAAGCAAGCTAATCTGTATTTCACATACTAGTTTGAAAGAATCTGCCAAACCTTTCACAGATTGTAGCAGTTGATGGAAAATGTGATATCAGTCAGATCAATTTCATTTACTTGAATTCTTTTAGTAACTGTACTGATTAATCTTCATATATGTAATGTGTGTGTCTTATCAGAACTAACATCAAGATGAATTTGCACTCTCTGCAGAAGTTTCATCAGAGAGAAATGCAGAAACATATCCTAGAACAGGGGTCCTCAAACTGTTTCAACAGGGGCAGTTGACAGGTGCCAGTGGTGGGCGTGGGCCGCCAAGGTGGTGCCGGCGGGGGGTGGGCACAGGCCAGTGAGGGGGCGGTGTGCGCGGGCATGTGCGCGCATGTGAGGTACAGTGAGATGGGGGGGCGTGCAGGGTGAGGTGGCGGCTTGCTCGCGAGGAGACCATTTTCTCTGAGAGAATCCAAAACGACCTCCTTGCAAGCAAGCTGCTGCCGGGCGCATGCACGGCAAGGCACTGGCTTGCATGCACGGCAAGGCACCGGGGAGATCATTTTCTCAGAGCTAGTCCAAAATTACCTCCTCATGAGCAAGCCGCTATGCGCCTGGCGAGTGCAAAACCTGTGCAGTGGGCCTGTTAAATGGGCATGGCGGGCCGGATCCAGCCCACGGGCCTTAGTTTGAGGACCCATGCCCTAGAAACTAAAGGGTTATAGCTCCTTGAAAATGGTCTTCCTATGTCTAGTGTTGCAGATACTGCATCCTGAGAGCAACAGCCAGTATAAAGGCAAAAGCTGTAAGAGCAGGCATGTACAGAGCGGCAAACAGGACAAAGAGGCACATGGCCAATCCATGTACATTTTTAAATCTACCTTGTAGGGTATTCTGATTGTGCCTATGAGGTCATTGTCATCTTTATTGTATCATGTAGGATTACCCACCTCACA